AAGGAAGGAAGGAAGGAAGGAAGGAAGGAAGGAAGGAAGGAAGGAAGGAAGGAGAGAGAGAAAGAGAGAAAGTAAGAAAGAAAGGTCAAGTCACATCAGTTAGTTCTTAATCTACTTGTGACATGTCCTGTTCAAGCAGAATTACTAGCTTTCAGGGGAAACATATGTGACCATCACCTGAGAATTTAAAAAATAACCCCTACCACAAAGTCATAGTTCCTTATGTTGTTTGTTGAGAAAACTGAAAAGACAAATAATGCTTTCTTCTGTCAATTCTCGAAGACCAAGAGCTGTAAGGGACCACTGTAATCCCAGAGCCTTTCATGTTCTACACAGGGAAACTGAGGCTCAGGAGGAGGAGGGCTTGGTCAAACCACCCAGTGGGTTGTTAGTAAGAGTCTGGCCATGGAAGGAGAGATCACCAGCAAGCCACCACTGAGGTTATCAGAGTTTCCCATGACCACAGGCAGAGAGTGATCTGGAGGACCTGCAGGTGACAGTTGGGCCTGGTGGGTACCCTTAGTCATATCTCCAACCAGTAATCCACCAGTCTCTCCCTCTGACACACTCTCCTGGGAAAATGGAAGCAGAGCAGTGCACAAATCAACTCTGAGAGACCAGAAAAACAATCTAAGTGACAGCCAGGTGCTTCCCTGAGGAGATAGGGCCAGTGTAGCTGGCCAGCTGGATTCCTGACATTACCGTATGTATATGTGTGTTTGTGTGGGGGTGTGGACAGGTTGTGCACGCATGTGTGTAGAGCAGAGGACACGCTCAGGTTTCATTCCTTAGGCACTGTCCTATGTTTTTTTGTTTGTTTGTTTGTTTGTTTGCTTTTGTTTTTTAGCCAAACTATCTGACTGTGAGACCCGGAACTGCCTGTCTCCACCTCGCCAGCACTGGGTTTATAACTGTGCACCACACCCAGCTGGCCTTGGTGTGAGTCGTGGGGATCCAGGCCCTCATGATTGCAAAGCATGCAGTTTACCAACTAAGCTATCTTCTAGCCCTCTGCCCATTTTTATCATTTTAATGGGCAGCAGCCTCTGTGGCCATGTCTGTTCTAATTGTTGTCATATCTGGCTGTGACCCCCCCAGGTTCCTGTGGATGAAAAGGCAGGAAGAGTTCATTGCCCCACCTTCTTTGCCCACTAATGGAGTCCTTGCTACCACCCAGGGAGGCAAAGAGCCTCGTAAAAAATTCTATCCCTGCCCCCAACTCCCACCCATTTATAGCCACAGAAACTCAGGCTATTCTGACCCCAGCCTTGGAGCCAAATCCTTCTCACTCAGGTCAACCTGACACTCCACTTAAGGCTTCCTAACGGCCACATGGGACTCTAGGATCTATGGCAGCCACATAAAAAGTTCCCCATAAGGGAAGTGATGAGAGAGAGCCCAGCTATTTCCTGCACACGGACCTCTAGCGCACCCTGCACATACAGCCAATTATGCACCCAGGAACTGCACAAGATCGCCCTGTCTGAATTTAGCTTCTCGGGGAGCAAGCAGAAAATACACCTGTCCCACATAGAGCCCCAGGGGTGTTCTTTCTTCTTCTCTCCACCCCCGACTGTGAGTATCTGACAGCTACCAGGAAGGCTGCCCCACTTACGAACAGGCTCAAACTCTGCTGCCAAGTGTCTCCTAGCAATTTGTCCCTTCTGTCCCTGAAAGTCAAGTTCCTGTCTCACGGCTGGCC